GAGTCTGATAGGAAAGGGTGTAACCCAGGCTCTGTTTTGGAGCTTTCATTTCCAGATGTCTCCTGAACGTATCACACACGGGCGGTCGTACAGTAGAGGTCGGCTGTAACGCTCACTGAACGCTTTAGATGAGAAGACTGCAGCTTTCTTGAGAACAGCACGATTGTGTGAGTGAAGTCATTTCTCACAGGAAACCGAAGATTAAAAATGATGATGAACATGACCACATATTTTTCACGAGGACCAGTTTGACTTTTAGACCCCCCCCCTCCCTTTCACAGACCTGCTTGAGGGTTAAAGCCAAAATGAGGTTAGAGTTTGGGACTTTGGAAAGCATGTCAGCGAGCTAACGCAGAAGCTAAAATCAGAAAGCTGCTCTGTACCTGGTACGGGTCTGTGCTGAGGTCAAAGTACTCCAGGAAGCCAGTCGCAAACTCACAGAACAGGAAGTTGTGGGACTCGTTGATGGTCCTCAGACACCAGTACGTGTTGTTGTTAGCACTGGTGCAGGCGCAGAATGAACCCACTGCAACACACACACCGACACAAACACACACATTAACAATATTTTTCTTGCTGCGCTGGTTAAACCTGAAGAACGAGGACATTTTTAGAAAGTGTGGTTCTCTTTTAGAAACATCTGCAACAACAACGATCGAAAGCTCAGACACGGGAGATCGTGATGTCAGAACGCTCAGGGCTGTGATAATCATCACTAAGTACAGCGGCGGCTCTTACACGTCCAGAACGGCGCCGTGTGCCAGTGCTGGTTGTCATGAGTGAAGCAGGTAAGTCCTGGCATTGAACACGTGTCATTGTTTCTGATTCTCTTGATCATCTTCCTCATCTTCTTCCTCCTCTTCTGCTCCTTCAGAAGCCACGCCTTCTTGTCCCGAGCCCCGGCCTTCCTGCTCACACACACACACACACACAGATAAAGCTTGTAGGATGCCCGGGGCCATTTATGTAAAAACGTTCCCACGGCGTGCTGGCTTATTGCCACAAAGGTTGATGTATTCTCACCTGAACGGGTGCAGACTTCCTCCTCTGTACCTCAGTTTGTTCTTCAGTTTGGATTTGTACCTGAGAAACACAAACGTCACATCGCGTTTAATCACGTGCATGAATCTAAAACTGTGGCGTGCACGTTTCTGCTACCTACAGATATTTACTGCAGTCACACTCCTGGGGGCGGGCCTTCTTCAGGTGACCTCTGACCTCTCTCAAGTTCTTTATCTTCGTCTGCAGAGTCTCAATCTGAGAGAAAGTCGCAGGTATCATTCAGGCCCACTAATAACATTCTGCAGAAACTTAAACTTACAAAGTTTGTTTCACTTCTGCGGCGTCAGGTGTGAGCTGGGATTTTTAAAACAAGTGTCACTGCTGTGAGTCTTTTTCACTCTCTAACTTGCTGTTTTGATTGGCTGGGTGAGCACGACTGCTTGCCTAGATGCTGCAGATCTTGTTAGCTGGATGAACCAATTAGTCCTATTTCATTCATTTGCATCTCCCAGGTTTACCTGACAGGTGTACCGTGTTGTGCACACCTGACAGGAGCTGTGGCTGCAGTCCAGCAGACAGCAGCATCCTGGTCTGTAGCAGGAAGTTGTAAACTAATGAGGTGGAGAGAGAGAGGAACCCGGCACACTCAGTTATCTGTCACAGAATCATTCACCCGGAACAGCAGCAACAGTCTGCACAGACATGGGAACGCTAACATGCTAATGTTATCCACACTCTGCACATCCCAGCAGCTAGAATAGGATCAGATCAATGAACAGAGTAATCACTGGTGTAATTACTGCGATCACTGACTTTTAAATGTGCCCTGTGTTTAACCGTTCCCATTAAATTGTGCTTAATTTGGACTGTTTTCTTACTTTCATACATGACGACTAATTTGATTTATTATTCTGCTGCTTTATAAACCGACTCCACGATGCTTGCCTCACACATACACGACCCCGGGGTTTCGTTAGGTCGGGCGTACGGTGCAGAATCTGTGCCTGATCAAACATGCAGATGGATCGTGGGGAGGCGGAGCGGCTCAAGCACTTTATGAACATCCTCCCTCCAGCTTTCAGAAAAAGCTGAGTCAGGAGCTTCGAAGCTCGAGGACGGTTCAGTTTAAAGGGACAAGAGCAACGAACGAATCAAAAATTCAACAACACCGGGGCCGCCGGGGAACGGGGGAAGGTAATTCAAGGGGAAAAAACAAGAAAAAAAACAAAACCTCAAGGGGGAAATCAAAAAAAACCTTTAAGCAGGAGACTGGGGTTTAGGTACCACCACAAGAAGGTCAAGTTTAGATTAAATTAAAGCCTTTAAAAAAGTTGTTTTAAAATCTGTTCATAGTCACTAAAGTTGTGAAGTCCTAAACAAAGTGTTTTGGTTGTTGGCAGCTTAGTTTGTTGA